CATCAGCCCATTACATCCTCAAATGTCAAGCCAGGACACAATAATAAAATGCAAATTTACGTATGTGCCTAAGCACCATGCCATGATGGCATACAGTGGACATAAACCTGAATAGAGCATATCTTGGCAATAGATGGAGTTCACTGGTCAACTTCGAGTCCCTGGAACCTCTCAAGGGGGCTGAATTTACAATTGAAGTTGAGAATCATAAGAGCAGTAAAACAATAAAAATAACAGAAATTAAGAAATGGAATAACCTCCATATATGGCAAATGACTGGTCAAAGAAGAACCTTCTCCGCAATAAGTCCTCCAACTTTGCTCTATCAAACGTGGCTGCTGATGGAACCAACGATAGTTCTTTATCTTCTAGAGTTTTTTTCCTTATCTTCAGCTCAGCTACTGCTTTCTTCACATCCAGCTCTGAAGCTTCACTAGCCTTTAACTTCCGGACCAGGTCACCCTGCAACAGTACCACATGCTTGATATGATCATCTTGGCATGACGACAGCAATGACATGTTGATGAAAAACAAAACTTACATCACTTGACAAATTTTAGTGTAGGATATATTTATTTTCTTTAGGTCATGAAAGTTATTTAACTAGTTATTTAACAGCAAAATCCAGAGCTTCAATGGTGATAACACCAAAGCCTGCCACAGGATATGATCTTGAGCCAGTTTCACTTACTTCCCATCCTTAAAATCTATTTCCTTAACATTAATATTGACTCCTATTTTCTCATTTTTTTCAAGAGGTTGTTTCCAAGATGTTTCGAACCAAAGTTATATGGGCACCTCCTCTCTCTCCCATCTGAGGTACAAGCCCATCTCATAATTACCTAGTTCTCTCTCCTTAACAGTTTAAGAGTAGTCTACACTGGCACTACTCAGCAATTTTTCCCAGGGGCAGGCTGCCAGAAAACTTGCACACAGACTTACATACACACCATTTAAGAATATTGTGATGTATACACCCATTGGTAGGCAACAACTCAGTATACACATTCCAGCAAACACAAAACAACAGGAGCTAGGTTCTCTCTGAACTGTGCTATAACTCATTGCTTGCTAGCACAATACTTGACTACAGAAGATGGTGTTTACCATGGGATCTGACCCAAAACTATGTAACAAGAGTCTGTGTGTAGGAAATTTTCCAAGGTGCACACCAGTCTGCGACTTGCTCATGGCTTTCAACATTCTGTATGTATACAATTATATAACAAAATTGTGCAGACGACAAGCATAAGTCATACAAAGTCATGATAATGAACATGTTCGTGGTATAGGACAAGGTGAAGCCAGACACAGAAAATATAAAAGGCTTAAACTTGGCGGTGGTCAAGCTTATGACCGTTTAAAAACTAAGTTTTCATTGTAGCATAAGATCTGTGAGTTAGGCATGATCTACTCTGTAAAGCCTGTACCGACAGAGGACTTGTGTGTGAAGCAAAAGGAAAAGCAAAAGGAGTTTTTGATAACATATTATATG